TAACGAAGAGAGATAAAAGGTCCTATCCCCCAGTGGTGGGGGTTAGCGATAGCTGGCCCTTGTGGATTGCATTGTTTGCCTACTTAGATTTGCAGCGCTGTTAAGAGAAATATAGCGCTTATTTATCAACTGAAAAGGATAACATCGGTCGCTATTGTTGTGTGGAGGAATGATGCAGGTAAAGGTGAATACACAAAGCTATCCAGATGCTGTCTGGATTAGCAGAGAACAGCTGAACCCGTCCTATTCCAAGTATTCGAAATAAGTCAACGAACGGGTAGAGTTGGCACACTCTGGCAAACATGTGACAGATTTTGAAGGAGGTAATGTGATTCGTAGTGACACGTAGTCTGAATCCCTATACTAAACACGCGTTTGATAATTAGCTTGCGAGATTTGAAAAAACTAAAATTACTAGTGGAAGCTTCTTGAGCTAGCCTATTGATGACGACTCGCACCGTACGCACGTGTCAATATGTCTATGAGGTAGAATATGAAGTGAGACAAGTTCCGCTGGATACATTTCGGTGACGCATCGATTTTGTCGAAAGCTTTACCTCTATTACAGAAGCAATAGGTGAATAGAAGCAATAGAAATCCCTGTCTAGAGTTCTAAAAGGCAAACAATTTTTGCTAACAGGAAAAGGCCGGCTGGTATCAGCAGTCAACTGGTGCATTGTTACCGGCGTTCATTTGTGTATGGACTCTAAATTAGTGTTGCGTCACTATCCCAGAATTTTTGGCTTTTTTAGCACCTTCATAGATAGGCACCACGAGCCATAGTACTTTATATGTGTTATTGTCACAAGTGAACACGACTGAATATGTGGCCGGTATTGAGGATTCACAGCTGGGTTCCCTATCTGAGCTTTCAGTCTGTCACAGTGAGATTCACCTTAGCTTTAACACGGAAATAATCATTTTATTGCACAGCAATTGTATAATGAATTGCAAAAGAGAAAATTTAAAAAATTACCTTCGTCATCATTCAGCGTCACTTCCCTATCTTCTTCTGATGAGCTATACAAGTTAAATTTAAATAGAAGCGAGACCTTGATGGCTGATCGTTTACAATTATTGCTATAGGTGCATTTTGTTACTGTCGCTAGTAGCATTATGGCCGTCTGTCTTCTAGGAAACACCAGACGCATTGAACGAGATGACCTAACGAACTATAAACAAAAGTTTGCGCGCCACCCGTCACCGGCTTCAGATAACTTTAACTAGCACTAAATTGTCATTATTAGCATCGTATGTTGGTTTACTTTTAAAGTCTGTTGTTGTTGGCTGTACGTTATCATTTGTGCTAATAAAAGAAATTTACACAGTGGCTTGTAGAGAAAGAGACAGAACAAAATCTCAGGACATTGCTTAATACGTAAGCGATTATTATGTACATGCCTTTGCATGTGCGTCGTGCGTTTGAATATCGTGTAATATATTTACCCAGCAACTGGGATCATGCCTTACTTAGCTGGTTGGCCAACGAAGACTCGGTCACAACCTCAATAAACAAACGACATATTTGCACAGATTCATGCGGTCCGCCAAGTGTAGGGCTGTACATACCTGAGTCAAGTAGTCGAATGATATTAACGCTATGTTTCAGCGTTTCGTGTAATTGTTAGTAAGTCGTATTTTATAATGATTATATAGTATTATAATTGTTGCCGGTTACTAGTGAGCGACCCAACTTCAGGGAGCGCCTATGCATGCGCGGAGTCATTGGTTCGTCTACGAACATAGCGTCGCCGCGATGTCTGTGTAGTTAAATATGTTGGCTGCAAATCACGAGGCACAACATGTCGGTGTTGTACAAATGTCAGCGATTCATGTTGATTTGTGACGAGATAATTTTATCTCCTGTCCATAGCGTTCTTGTAGAACTGCAGTATGGCTGGCCATAGCGGATGGACGGCTAGAATATCGACGAGAGGCACAACACGAGAGAACTGAGCAAATTTGAAAAAATGCAATACCGGCACAATCTGTTCTTCTCTGATCTTGTGAAGAGAACGATGATATAAGAAGATAACAATGAAAGACAGGCAAAAAAATGCCCGCTTCCCCTAGCAGCTGAATTTGCGCATTCAAAAACAGACACATATAAACACGAATCATATTTAATCATGATGGTCGCTGCGGTCTTTCTAAGCAATGAACGGGGCTCGAAGAAGATCTCTAAGTGGGTCTCATTTAGCTTCTGACTGGATTTTGCGCTCGTAATTGTTCTTTATTTGCTTTATATAACTGATCCTCAATTTATTTATCACGCGGACACAGTGTCCAAATTAAGTATCTGTGTGAAGCTGTGTGTTTGCTTGTAACAGCATAAGTGTATGTACGTTGTGTGGCTTGAAATAGGATTGCTTTTATCAAGGTATCTTACCTTTGCACAAAAAGTTAGTAAAACAATCTAGTTATATATGATATGTAAACTGTGTATGCTAGGGTGGTAGTACGTGGCTGTTGCAGCGGATTCCAGATCAATTTAAAGTTTCGCATCACAAACCCAATTGGATGGGGGCTGAGTAGCGATTGTTGTTATATTTGTAGGGTTGTTTTCCTTTTTTTTTTGGCTATATGTTTGACTTATCCTCATACTTCAATCAAATTTGACAAAGATTTCAAATGTGTACCTGGAGCCGACGTTGAATTTTTTTTTTGCAGAAGACTGAGCGTGAATCAAGCATGTAAGGAAACTCGTCAAGTACATAACGGATTACACGATCAGGAGGTAGTTCGTTTGTTTTCGAAGTGGTGACATCGAGGACAAGACGCATACAGGCCGATCCTCTGACAATGAACACGCTAAAATTCTTATTATACAAAATAAAAAGCCGTCGCCAAATCGAAGAAGGCCAAAAAATATTCAAGTCAGTCGTTCGAAGACATCCAGCGAACAACGACCAGGTTGCCCAGGCAAACAACTGCAGCTCTCATGATCTGACCCATCTTCATCTAATGAACAGCGTGTCCACGGCCAAACATCGACTGAAATTGAACTGAGGCAAGCTTTTTCTTGCAAAGACGCTTGACGAAAGATGTTTAATTTACGCCATTCAGGGCAGATCATTGTCAAAGCGTGGTAGAGCTCTTCAAGCAAGCGCTAAAGCCGGACCCCACTAAAAAAAATGGTAACTTTATGGTGCCATTTGATAGAATTGTAGGGGACTGTTTTTCTATTAGCTTCTCTCAAACAACCCAAACCGTTTCCTCAGGTAAATATTATGAACAGTTCCATCGTTTAAGGTACTATATTCAAAAAAAAGCGTCTGATTATGTCCTATAGGAGGGCAACCAGTTTCATCATGACAATGTCCGGCTAGATACACTTTTAGTGACTTGCCAAAAATCGTCAAATTTCAATTGGGACCTTTTGTTTTACCCAACTTGTAGTTCCGACCTTGCCCCTATTGATTATCATCCTTTACGATACTTGCGGGACTCTCCCAATGGAAAGAACTTTGCATATTTAGAAGGCGTAAGGAACTGGTTTATCCCGAATAAAGGTACTAACTTATAGGAAAATAGCATTTAAAAAGTACGCGAAAGATGAATGAAGATCATTGTTAATTAACGGTAATGAATATATCGTTGATTGAAGTCTTCTGAGCGCAGAATCGCTCTCAATTTAAATCAAGTAAAATTCCGATGCTACTAGCTCACGGGACATAACCGAATATTATATATATATTTACAAAAAAAAGTTTTACTCGGTAATTCCGCAGTGGAAGTGCTCCAGCGTGTTGTGATATTCAGTTGGGCAGTATAATACTTTTTAAACGTTGGCCCCCTCACCGGAATTTATAACCAAAGCGCAAATCTTCATTCAGTTATCACGAGCACCATTGAGTGAAGTTTATCGTGTTGATTCCGTACAGCATTCGGCATTTGTTGATGAGGTTGTAAGTAAACGGGTGCTGGATATTTATGAGACGCCACTTACATAAATGTATAAACGCTGCACTTCCGTGTTTGGGCTTTTCAGAATGGAAAGGCTTGCTAATTTGATGCACACAAAGTATTTATATATTCGTCAATTAATGTATTCACTGAAAGTTGTGTGTATTATCGACATATTCAGCCGATTGATTTACGAATAGGCAACATTCAGTATCCCAATAGGACGCCAGCCTTGTTTGCGCATATCTGATTATCATAGATTTGTTTATAGAGAAATCGTTTATCTGAAATTGAAAGTGGCTCTAGGTGATGCCATTAAAGGAAGCGCAACGACGTTCAACGAAGAGAAAAGGCCACAGCTCAAACCACTTTTCAAGAGTTACTGCCGTTTGTTATCCAACTGGTCCAAACAGTCACCATCTATTTATCTTACCGTTGATTTGTCTTGCCAAAAATAAATTTTCTGCGGAGGCTTGCTTGGAGGTGGCGTATCGGAAATATTCTGTTCGACAGTCCGCAATGGACGCTAAAATTGTGGTCTAATGTGTTGTCAACAAATGTAACAAGGGACCGTTATGAGACAGCAGTTCTTTCAACAGTACAAGATATTTATCCTTAGATCAGTGGCCCAATTTGACAAATAATGCTATTCAATCTGGTAATAATAACGTAGCTTCTTTGTGCCCAACCAGAGCCCTGCTTTACGAGTTCATTTTGAAAATTATCATAGTAACACACCCGGTATCTTCTAAATTATTGCTTTTTATAATTATATGAAGAAATATTTGCTTCGATTATGACTACACACATGCAATGCCCAGCAATTGGTTAAATATGCATGTGGCGATTTCGCGTTTTGTCGACTTCTACCACCAGCAAATCGTAGTGCTATGTGGGGCGCCTATTAGGTACTGAGCCACGCTGGTTGACTAAATTTCTATGGTAAAATTTGGACAGAGGCAAGTATCACACACAGTGTGTCGCTGTTGTCGAGCTGTTAACAAATTGAACTGTCTAAATTTTTTTGATCTATGAAATAATTGATTTACTATATTTTTGAAAGTTGGCGCCGCCGCCATTTGAAGCTACTCAAGTGCTAGTCGGTGGTCACAGAAGCACTCAACACAGAAGTACTTGGCTTGGTACAGATTCGTTGGCAGTCGGAGCGTCAGTTTGTTCGACCCGACCAGTTCTCACCCCATAGCTGAATCGTCTTCTACCAAAGTCTTAAACTATCATCACTAATACTATTACGGCTATATTCCCTCTTGGCCTATTGTGTAATCTTGTAGGAGAGCTCCTGGAAGTTTATCAAAGCATTCGACCGAAGTCAAGCAATCTGTAACCGCTATGGGGCTGTTAGACGAGTAACCGCTGAACGGGGGTGTCAATTCCAGGACAAACCGTAGTGTCCATATTCATCGGATCCATTAACAAGAAAAAGCATAGCAATCGAACTGCTGCACGATAAATTGCTTAATGAAGAAAATTTCAACAGCTTTCGTGAAAATTAGTGCTAAGTAAGTAACCCGGAGCTAGCAAATTTCAGAAATCTATTGAAGTAAATATTTGATGAAGAAAGACAAGTACTCATGCAAGCTATTAGACTGTCGTTACAGCCGGAAGTTAACGGCGACCATTATGTAACGGGTTTTGGAAAAAGACATTTATTATTGTAAGAAATATTTAACTCTAGCAGGTATCGTAGATCATGTTTTTTGTTAACCGTCGGCGATTGGCAACCATTTTTCCATTACCCAGATTTTCAAGGATGAGCAGTCAAAAATGCGTATGGCTTCAAATCGTATTGTTTTCAAAACTTACCTATGAAAGTTTTTAGCCCCTTTCTGCGCTCAATACTTTTCGATCGATAGATTTTTTCCTCTCCTGTGTTAGAGGATAGCTGCGAGGCTGTAAACGATGTGCGTGTAATGCGCATAAAAGATTTTATACATGTATATATAATTTTCAGGGGCACAATTTTTTCCGGTTTGGGATTCATCGACTGCTGATTTTGCTGTCGGCTTTAGGATTTGCAATCACGATGACGGAAGCGTCATTAACTTGATCGTACTGTGAATGGCTGTGCCGCGATCATCACATAACGCTACTACCCTAAACCTTCATGTAAGAACGCATAATTGTGACGACTTCATTAACAAGATGTCACCTCATCTCTTATGGCGGCAAGTGTTCACTCTGTGTAACAGTCAACGGTCTTCGTATAACCGTTGCTGGCCCGTGCGTCATTAGCGTTGTTCGTACTCTACCGATTTCTGTAGTAATTATGCCCTATTTATACTTGTCAAACCCATTCACTCTAAAAGCTAGTAATCGAAAATATACAGAAAGTACACAAATAAATTCAGTAAAATAATAATGAGATATTTCTGCGTTATTGTCATTGCTGTTATTAGGCTTTCTCTACCTGGCACTTTTGTGGTAGGAGGCTACTAACTAAGATATGTATGCTCATGTTTTACGTTGATTTTGATTTGAGGTTAAGTTCAATCATATTGACATAATGGCAAACGTTGTCCAATAGAATATATAGAACTAGTCTTCATTGTGCTTTGTTAAAATTCACTGCTTTTGTTAACTACGACCTGTACCAAATCTAAGTGGACATTGTATTTAGGCCACAGGTCAATACCGTAAACGAGCTAATTACTTAGGCTCGTATTGGTCTATGCTCTAATTAAATTATTAATTATAATAGAATCAATTCATGTAAATTACGATTATTGAATTTAGAAAGCTTAACACAATATGAGTTGGCAGCTAGTTAATTATTAACTTCAATTTTCCTTAATTTCGAAGTCCTTTTACAGTAGAGACCTAGTGGTAGTGGTTTTTTTGATACAAAATAGGATTTTCGGTGCCTATTGGCGAGTTGCGTTTCAAACGCGAACGTACGATTAACTGTACGGTAGTAAAAAATTAAGTGGTATTAGGCGAACTTTTTCATTGACAAAAATGTACGGTTAGAAAAAGTGCAACTTTGTACAACTTGGGTTTGAAAACGGGTTGGAATAAGTTTGTTTTTTCACACCCTAGACGGCTGGTTCCCAGACGAATCTCACGACGAAAATTCTAAATAATCGAATCCAGCTAAATGTAGCCGTGAAGCATATTTTATTTGCCATAGAGGGTTCCTTAATAAACTAAAAATTTTTATAAATTAATTTCTCCTTTTGTTGAGTGTCCACTTGACACGCAGATTAGAAGCTGTAGGCTTATGTTGGTTAAAATTATTATTGACTATGCTTTTTCAAATGCCGGAGCAACGTTTCAGCCTCTTTGATCGATGATGACGAAGACTCATGCTGTGTCTGACTATCCAGTCAGTATGCTATCAGATAATGAGTAAAAACTTTGTTAGCAAAAGTAATATTATAGTGTATAACTACCATGATATCTTCCTGAAGCGGCCGGCTAGCTTTATCTCTATAGAAGCATTGTGCGCCACGGATCAAGTAGAACAGAAATAGTTTCAAATCCAAATTTTATTATTTTTCTATCCATATGTGTTGAATGACTATATAAATAAATATGATATATAATTTATGTTGATAATTATAATATAATAATGCTGACAGGGTTTCCTTATAAGAAGATTCGCTGCTCGATAGTTGATGACCCAGACACACGTCAGTTTCGATTGAAGATGTATAAATCAAATTGAAATTATACCGCATAACCATTATTTTCTATTTCTAGTAAGGCGGCCCTAGAAATCTCGATTTTTTTAAACAAATCAGCACCACCAAATAATAATTACCAGCAACTAGGTTGGTATATCAAAACCTGCTCAACTAGAGCAAGCAGTTCTATTATTCATTCAACACGCAGTTTCTATCACGGGTGTGCCTATATATCAACACTTATAATTGATAGAATATACAGGTTAGTTATTAATATAATGAATAACAGAAGTCTACCGGTACACGCATGTAAAAGGTTATTTTCGCTTAAGCGCTAGCACGCCGCGCGGTTCATCTGGTCCTTCCTCCACCGTCTGGTCGACTTATTTACTGCATATATACGATATGCCACACAAGTTGCCTCTGGGGCAGTAATAAACATTGGTGGAACAAAATGAATAAAGGCTTTTCGCACATAAATCGACACAAGACATGTAAGAGGGACAACGACACCAGTCAAAATCATAGCATCAGCAATAATAATAACGACAATGACCAAAAAAATAAACGTAGGAAACATTAAGTTTAGTCGTTTCTTAGTAACCCAAGTGTGGCTGCTATGAATCTATATGACGCCGATGAAGGGAACGCAAATGTCGAATAGGGTCGAGGCTTCCCGTTTATCCTAGTGTGGCTAAATGACGTTACAGCGACGTCAGAGCAGTCCGTTTTGAGCCTGAGGCGATACTAGGACAACAAAAGTTGATGTGCTCAAAGATCCAGTTTTCTTTGTGCCGTTGAACACATGGCCATCGTATCAGTAGACAAATCTCTAGTGTTTCTGAGGCTTTGGATGACAAAGGATGATGCGCAGGTAATGGTCACAGAACAAATTGTCGCTACGGATAGATACCAGTGCTTTAATGTATTTATTAGGATAGCAATGTTGTTTTCAAAAGAAAATCATTTTGAAAGCCCGGCGAGCTTAATTAAGTTTTCGAGCAGTATCTTCACTCAAAAGCTTGTACAACCGCAGATTCTCGCAGTCGACTTTTGTATATCCATTTCTACAACGAAGTGTGCTTATACGGATCTGAATGAAAAAATTCACTAACTAGAGTTTCGCTGGTTTGACCCATTTCGCACGTGTGACGCGTGCTCGGCGGCTTACAATTTTTCTAGTGGCGTTTCTAGATGGGCGTCTGACGGACGTGTATCTACGATAGTCAGATATATCAGGTTGTTGTAAAAGATAGCGGCAAGTGATATTTTCGGTGTGGTAACGTGTTCCTGAATTTGTCACACAACATCCGAGTTGGGTCAGATTTGCCACTGATGTGATGCCTCGAAATTTTCGGCTAAACGTGAATAAAGTGTCCTGAAAAACGTTAGGTTTTTTAATTTTTTGAGGTACCAACTACAATATATTAGGCATATTGCATGGCATTGTATACAGCATTTGTTCCATCTAATTTTTTCGATTAGCGAACCATTGCTTACAGGCTAGCATAAGACAAATTGTCAGCCACAGCCTTTTTTCCTTCTAGACCTCTCAGAAAAATGTTTCGGTAATGATTATGAACGACCAATTTGTCCAGGAATACTTTGGTAATACTGCGGAATTATTTTGTTTAATTCATCGAGATACACCTACTTGTGCTGGTATTTGTCAAAGACGAACCATCGTATCTTCCTAGTCAGACGATCGCGACCGATCTTCCAATATTTCTTGTCGATTTGTAGGTTCCTCTAGGGACACAAACCGATATTGGATTATGATTAACAAGAAATTTGCTTTAATCATCAAATATCCTGCACGTTGCGCGCTCGACTACGGACATTTGCACGTAGAAATGAATGACAAGCAAAATATCTATATGTAGACGAATGTTTTTTGAGCAACTTCCAACTCGACAATCTAAACGGTGACTTTTATTCTATATTACGCGATTTTTACCCACCAAACATGAACTGGTAACCGTTTCACTGTGGTTCTGGTTGGTCAAATGGCAATTTGCTGTTTAACACCAAATTGCCATTTGACGAAACAGTTCCGAACATAAAACTGACAACAAATAGATTTCGCAGATTGAAAGACACCTTGTTGAATGATCCAGTTGCAAGTAACAGGTCACAGATTTCATGGTGCGGACGTCGTTGTTTTACTGCGATGGGAAATTAAGGCGTTCTGTAGATGACAAAAAAAAAGCCCACAGGTCTGTCCAGTTTGCTATAGTAGAATAATTTTTCGGGGTAGCTTATTTTGTTACTTCCACTTAGAACTTATCCATAATGGTTTGTCATTTTTCACAATAACAGTATTTTGTAACTTTCGACAATTGGGCGCGAGACTCGGATGCTGTTCAGCCGGGGGCCCAAATCAAAATATCCTTCACATAAGATAATAAGTGAAATTGAGTAGTATCAATCTGCTGAACGCAAGGCTTAGACAAAAGTTTATCGAGACGTTCTTCTATTTTGCATTGTTCCATCGGTGACAACTCAGTCCACGTTAAACAAGAGCCATGTAATCAAGCTCTATGCTGCAAACTCAGCTAACAATTGATTTTAGGGAATGTAATTATAATTGTGTAATAATAAATATCATTCGTTTTAACTTCGGCTATTATAACGGAAGTAACGAATAAATTGCGGTAAGCTTAGAACTTGTTCCGAGCTTGGACGTACACAAAGCCATTACGACCCCAAGTTGTCACAAGGACTTGAAGACTGCTAAATTAGCTATCCTAGACTACGACAAAACAAGATGCTTCGTAGTTTATAGGTACCTAAGTTTTCAATATCACACAGCGAAATATGAAACAATCAGCGAGTCATTCGCTCCGGGTCTGTTCTGTATGCCTTTTTTTTTTTGTTTACTTCAATGAAGAGAGCTAAACGATTTTCTTGGATCAGGCGTCGACTGGCCTTGCATATGGTTATAAGCCATTGTGTACAGTTCAGACTATAATGGTTTACATGGATCAAGTGAATGCCTAGTGGTTAACCTGTCGGGTGTTTTCGGAAAGAGCGACCAAAGCTAGCAACCCAAAGCACCGTCGAAAAGGCCTCTTTACCGGCGTGAAATCGTCAAGGACTAATAATAAGCGAGGATTCGAATCATAATGACAACGGTACGTTGTTGTTGTTGTAGCTTTTCGTCTGCATACGGCTTTCTGGTCACAATAAAGCAACATTGTGTACCTAGTTTGTGCTTTTTAACTTTTGCTGTCTAAAGGTAAGTAATTGATTTAGACAAAACAAACCAGGTTTTTTCTCTTATCAGCATATTGACGTAAATTGTTGATCAACGTCGCACTGATCCCTGCCAGCTCTGCCGGACACAACACGTTCTAGAAACAGTCTGCTAGCGCCAACATTGGAGGCTGTGTCTAAAGGATAGGAACCAGCTGCATCAGGTGCTCCGCTCGAGACCGCTGCGGGGTGCTCAACAACGCTGAACTTCTAAATGAAATCATATACGAGGCAAGTGAAAAGTGAAGTTCTGCTGGTGGGCGAAATGCCGAAAATGTATTTGTGCTTTTCAAAGGTATCCAGCATATATATATTTACACAATATACTGGCTATGCAGTCTGAATAATGTTGAATAGCGATACCGGACGAGACATCTACCTAAATACGCTCGCTGAAAGGATGCCCGCTGCTGAAGTTGCTGGTTGCTGAGCTAGGCCATCAACATGTGCCTGAAACTGGCAAAATTCACAAGACGGCTTAATGATTT